TATGGATGTCTTCTAGTTTTTAGTTCCGGAATGTTTCTAATTGACTTTTGTCTGTATAGTCCTGGTCCTCAGGTCAAGTGAAAAGTTTATAGAAATCATCTGAACTTCAACCTCCTTCCCCCAGAAATCACGTACAGTTTTCTTCTTCAAAGGATCAGTTTGTACAACAGAATATTCATAGGGAGGGGGAGCGGGAGAGATATATTTTGGTAAGATCATGGCATATTGTGGTGAAGACATCCAAAATGTACTAGGTTTTGTAAAATTCTCTGTGAGTGATTTAAGACATTACTAGGAAAATATGAAATGCAAATTAGAGACTAAGAGAATCACTTAACATATACTACGTACGTATTTAAAAGAAGAGGTGGACACTTTGATTTTAAAATAAATACACTGATTCCAAGTCATTAAATTTATGGTTTAAGTAGAAAGAAAATTAATACCAGAAATTATTTAAAAAAAAAAAAAAAAGATTGAAAGCTTTATATTGTTGTTTGAATGTGTATGTGTATCTCATTGTGGTTTTAATTTGCATTTTTTTATAATGACTAGCGATCGCGAGCATTTCCTCATGTGTCTGTTGGCCGCTTGAATGTCTTCTTTGGTGAAGGGTCTGTTTATTTCTTTTGCCCATTTTTTAATTAGATTATTTATCTTTTTGTTCTGGAGGTTTTGGATTTTCTTGTAGATTATAGAGATTAGACCTTTGTCTGACTTGTACTTCTTTGTGGAAAAAAAAAGAAAGAAATATACGTTGTTTTATACGTGGTTGAAAAATCTTCCCTTAAGACTCACTAATAAACCACAGAATTTGGAAGGAAAGAGATACCTAAATCTCTCTTCCTCACTCTATCATTTTATGCATTTCTGTCTATAATATGGTTGCTATAAAGGTTGTCGATGTAAAAATGACATATAGTAAGAAAGGAGGTAACATGATTTTGCCATGCTCAAACAAGGGACTGAACTGAAAACTATTATTACAAATAAATGTAAAGATCTACAATTTGACCACAAAACCAACTGCTTGATTACATGATTCAGCATTCATTCATGCATCTAATATTTATTGAGCATGAAATATGTGTTCTAGGCACTGAAAATGCAAGAACTTAAAAAAACAGTTTTCAGAAATTTTAGTTTTACTATGTGTGCTATTTGAATTGACTTTATAATAAAGCTACAACCCTTTACCTATATTATTAAATCCAAAAAGCTCTGCACAATGAATAATTACATTTATTTGTTGGCTAAATGCAACATGATTTAAAATGACATTATGGCAAAATATGACTTCATCATATGAGGGACTATTTATACTCTTATTGTCTTCCTTTAAAAAGGGGATAGATTGTAGGGTATTATATTATACAGCGCTACTTCCTGAGTGTATTATAAACATGCAGTATATACATTGTATTACTTTTTTTAAAAAATTGAAGAATTGTGAATCCTGAAATATACCTTAAGACAAAGGTTTTGCATATAGAGTTGTGGACCTGCCCTATCTTAGATTGCTTACATAGAAGCTTATGATTTTATCCCGTGGAGGAGATTTTCAAGATGGGACTAATCCTACAACTTCTGAATTATTATGTTCAATTAGGTGCAGGATTATAGGGATGAATAGGGACTGGAAATAATTATGTGATAAACAGGTAAAGGACTAGTGGATGATCAGCCTGCAGAAACAAACAAGCAAACAAAAATTGCCTTAGAACTATCAATATAGATATCTTCATACATTTAGAAAAATTATATGAATGAGGTTGTCTTGACCTCAAAGTTTGATTCTAGAGATCAGAACCAGGAATAAGGGACTGACTTTTCAAGGAAGTGAATGTAAGTTTTAATATAAAAACTAAAAATATTGTAAAATAATGACATAGTTTACCTCAAAGGGTAGTGAGTTTCCAGTCAATGGAAAGAGCAAATAAACATATGATGAGCAAGCACCAATGTGCATTTGTTACATAGTGTCTCAAGGATATGGTAAAGGGTTTAACTAGATGGTCTCTTCAGAACCATATTCCTAAAAATACAATAGTTCTGTGAGAGTTCATTACATGTGAATAGTTAGAAAAAAGGGAAATGGAATTGTCCCCCAAATACCCACATTTAGGTGGAAAAAGTGATTATTTTCCCTACTTGATGACACGTAGAACCCTTGGGAGCCACACAGATAGGAAATGCCTCATCTAATGGTAGAGACACTGATTCTCTCCAGAGATTCTCTATCCAGAGAAGAAGGAGAGGCTGTGGGGACCAACTTCACTGACCTAGATCTTTCCCAATGTGGGAGAAAAGAGAATGAGTTGGTATTCACAAATAGCCTATGTGGGGTTGAGCTAGCACGACTCCCTTTGGAGTTGTTTCTTTAACAAATATACCCCTCCTCAGGACTCTGAACATGTACTGAGGATATAACATCAAACCAATCCTCAGTGCATGCTCAGGAATCACAAAGAATAAGCTGTGGCTAAGGTAAGGAAGCCCAAGTATTTAAAGGCAGAAAGGATGTTTTAAGGGTAACTGTTCTTCCTGGTTTATGTATTTAGTTCTTGGGTATAGGCTAAGAAAGTAAAGGTTTTCTGTTTTTTGTTTTTTTTTTAATTTATTTTTGGTGAAATGAAGAATTCAGAAAAGGGGGTACCATTTTAAAAGGCAAGTTCAGACAAAAGATCCACCATATATATGTAATGGATGTCTATGGGGAACATGAGCTTGGGATCTAGGTCAGATACACTTCAGTTTGAATTCCTGTATACCTTATTCTTTCTAAGTGGTAGAATCTTTAGTCAATCCCCAATCCTACTGACAACCCTAGTCACATCTAAACTAACACTACTGGATTACTTTCTCCTGTTACCCTTATTCATTCTTCCCTTCTGCCAATGTGCTCTTCATACTATACCCAAAGTAACCATTAAATAATGATCATACTATCATAGTCCCTACCCCCTTACTTCATATTCTTAGGATAAAGTCAAAACTCCTTACATGATTTGTAAGACCCTATGAGTCGAAATCGACTCGACAGCAGCGGGTTTGGTATTTTTTTTGGTATGTGACATAGGGTCGCCATGAGTCAAAATCAACTCTGGCAACAGATTTGAGTGTTTTTTTTTTTTTTTTTGGTATGAGATTAGAATCTGCTATCACATCCTTATTTTGTGTCAAGATTTCCTTATGTTTTATTGTTCTAGTGACTATAATTTAAGTGTAAATATAATACAAAAATGGTTTTTTTCTTGAATTCACATTTTTTCTGGTTTCGTGATTGATGTGCATGTACTTCCTTCTGCATGGAAATAGTGTTATACCACAATTAACATATTTCTTACCCTTCTCATTGTTCAACTTTCAGATTAAATGCCACTTGTCCTGGAAAGTTTTCCCAGATCCCAGAGATACCTTTTATCTGCTTCCCCCTAGCACACTAATGTTCACACAGTAAAGGCAGTACTATGGAAATTTATGGAAAATATCTTATTGCTAGTCCTCACTAGATTTTAAGTTCTTTGAAAAAACAGAACAACAGAATATATCTGTCACTTTGTAAGTAACAGAAAGTAGGCATTGGTCTGAGTATAAACATTGCGATTTTATGACAAAATGTAAAATGTCCTCATTTACATGGTTGTTAAAAGATTCCTGGAGGTTCTTCTAGATTAGTAATAATCTTCTCCTTCCCCTCCACCCCCCATCAAAAAAAAAAAAAAAAAAAGACAAAAAATGCAATTGGAATTCATATGGTCTAGGACCAACAAAGAAACATCTGGTAAACCCTTGATCTTTAAGATAGACAGCAGGAAGGACAAGGCACAGATTTCTTAAATCATGATGCTGAGGATTTTGGTTATCACATAACCAAGCCCTGGCATCCCACACCAGCTGACATTTGAGTTTTCAGTTTTCCTGTACTATCCTTGGAGAAACATTTGAAAGGCCAGACTACCTTGGTCTGGAGACCAAGCTCTGCCCTGAAAAAGAATAGAGGAAGGAAGATTAAAGAGTCTCCTGGAGATTAAAGAGCCTCCTGGGTGGCTGGAAAGATGAAGTTCACGGGAGGTGAATTTCACATACATAAGCCCCGTAATGGGGACTCTTGAACAGGTTTTGAAATGGAAGCATCTGGATTAAGTCCTCAAATAAGGTAAATTGTGTATAAATTGAGTGAGTGCCAAGAACAGAAATATGAAATGACTCCTCTCCCTTCTGATTTTAGATCCAGACAAGAGAAGAGGTTATAAAGGTTTTCTAGAGGTCTGTATAGAGGGACAGACATTTTCTGTCTTTTTAGCAAATGTGATGATGAAAGGTTTGGATTTCTAATGTAGGACACATGGATGCACTTCAATTAAATTGTGAGTGCTTTGAGGCTAAATGTTAAATTATCTGTTCTTGTTCATCTTCCTCAGGAGAGGGTTCAATTTTGTTAGAATTCTACAAAACACTGACATTAAAATGTCAAAACAAAGCTTTTATAACCAAAAACTATGTTTGAAATGAAAATTTTATTTCATAATTGTAACATATAAAATTAAAGTTTAAACGTGTAAAAATTTAACAACCAAAAAAAGAAGTATTCTAGTTATGCAAGATTGTTATCCATTTGTATATTTTTACCTTTTTTAAAATTATTATTACGGATGCAAACATTTTATAGCATACACAGATTGGTGTGGCCTGATGTTATAAGAAAAATTGAGACTTGTTTCAAATTTGAGAGCATTTTAACCATTAGCCTAATATTGTACTTAACTTAGGAGAAGATCATTATTGCTCATCTCAAGTACAGCCTATAAATCTCTACTCTTTTTCTGCAGGAAAATAGTTGAAGAACTATGCTTATTTTGTGAATTAATTATCCCTAACATGAAGATTGTGATTCAGGCTGCTGTGATATCTTCCCAAGATAAGGTAGTGAAAACTGAAAAAGCTGGGCTACTGAATTCATACCTTCCAGAAAGCTGCTCTTCACCCGTAGGCCAACTATGTGGCTCAATGTTAGTGCTGCCCCCTTTATGCTGACTGGCTTCCCAGGTATGGAGGCAGCCCATCACTGGATCTCCATCCCCTTCTTTGCAGTCTACTTCTCTGTGCTTCTTGGCAATGGCACCCTCCTCTACCTCACTAAGGATGACCACAGTCTCCATGAACCCATGTACTATTTCCTGGCCATGCTGACAGGCGCGGACCTCATGGTGACACTGACCACAATGCCAACTCTCATGGGCGTTTTATGGTTGAATCACAGGGAGATCAGTCAGCGGGTCTACTTCTTGCAGGGCTACTTCATCCACTCTCTTTCTATCGTAGAATCAGGTGTCTTGCTTGCCATGGCCTATGACCATTTTATTGCCATTTGCACCCCTTTGAGGTATAACTCTATTCTTACTAATTTCCAGCTCATGAAATTAGGCCTGTGGGTACCGATGAGGGGCTTTTTATCTGTTTTGCCCCCAATTATGCCACTCTATTTTTTCCCGTATTGCCGTTCCCATGTTCTTTCTCATGCTTTTTGCCTCCACCAAATTGTCAGGAAACTTGCCTGTGCTGATATTACATTTAATCGTGTGTACCCAGTTATTCTGGTTGCTTTGACTTTCTTCCTAGATGCTCTGATCATTGTCTTTTCTTATATCCTAATTCTTAAGACTGTCACTGGCATTGTCTCTGGAGAGGAATGAGCTAAGGCCCTCAATACCTGTGTCTCCCATATTAGCTATGTCCCAGCCTTTTATGTCACCATAATTGGCTTAACTTTCATCCACCGGTTTGGGAAACATGTATCGCATGTGGTCCACATTACTATGAGCTATTTCTACTTTCTCTTTCCTCCACTCATGAACCCCATTATATACAGCAACAAGACCAAGCAGATTCAGAGAAGCATCGTTGGCTTATTCTCTGTGCACAATAGAGCTTAAGTCTTTATTTCAGAATCTTGAGATCTTCAGGACAACTTGGCTTTTCCTGTTATTGGGAAGATGTCTTGGATTTATGCCTAGTCTGTTTTTTTCAGAGTTAGATGAGACTTTAATTTTTACATAAAGCTACAAGCTGAATTGAACAGAAATATAATAAACATAAATATATACTTAGTTATTTATCAACAGAAAAAAAAATATATATATATGTATATATATACATTTATTTTTGGAGAAAAGGATAGAGATAGAAACCCTAGTAAGTATGCAGGGAAATTAGAATCATTCAGATACCGCATTGCTAAGATGTACCAGGCCACTTCAGAAGAGGCTAAGTTACGAAAGATATACAATTTAGCCTCAATTTTTGGTTTAGAAAGGTGAAATAGAGATTGTGAATCAAAGGCCGTGGAACTTCACTATATCTGAAATCCTATGTCTCTGAAAGCAAGATTTGTTTTTCCAAATCATGCAATGACATTTATGAAACCACATCTTTCTCCCGTGGAGCAGTTAGTGGTTTAAAACCTCCAACCTTTTGCTTAGCAGCCAAGTGGTTAATCACTGCGCCACTGGGGCTCCTTTCCTGTAATAACCTGTTGCCGTGGAGTCAATTCCGAGTCATAGTGACCCTATAGGACAGAGTTGAACTGCCTCATAGGGTTTCAAGCAGTGCCTGGTGGATTCGAACTGCTGACCTTTTGGTTAGCAGCCATTGCTCTTAACCACTACACCACCAGGGTTTCCGTTTTTACATAATAGTCTCCCTAAATTCATTGATTTGCTATTAGTTCAGTTTATGATTTGATTTGTTTCTCTTCATCCTGTGTTCTTCTCTCTAAATGCTAGTGAGGAAATGAAAATCTTTGAGTGTTACAGGAGATGATGTGTAGTTTGATATGTAAATTTTGTTTATTCAGTTTATTTTTATTGTTATAAAACACAAGCAATTTTCAATTTGTTGTAGCCATTTATATCTCACTTTGACTTGTCTGATCATATTTTTCCTCAGTTTTATCCTTTTCTAATTGATTTGTAGAAGCTCATTACATATTAACCCTTGGGTGTTATTTGGTTAAGAGCTGGGCTGCTAACCAGAAGTTCGGCAGTTCGAATCCACTAGCTGCTCCTTGGAAACCCTTTGGGGCAGTTCTACTCTGTCCTACGTGGTTGCTATGAGTCAGAAACCACTTGATGGCAATGGGTTTGGTTTTTTTTTTTTTTTTTTTTTGGTGTGTTATTTATATTGCAAACATTTTCCCAATTTTATTTTCCTTTTTACATACATTATTTGAAAGTTCGTACATAAATAATTTTAAAAATTTTATTTTATCAGTTGAGATATTGAGACCATACTGATAAATGCCTCCCTGATTCTAGGTTTATTTGTATGTTTCCTAAAATTATGGCATACTTCACATACCCTATGTTATACTAGGTTAATATTTGGAGAGAATAAGAAAGTTACATCAGTCCTCATTGTGTCCATTTTCATAACTGAACACTAATACTCAGTTATTCTCTTGGACACTTTTTTAAGGCAAAATGGGATAGGCAATATGCTAAACAAAAATAATCTTACTACAATAAAATGGACTGTAATCTTTCCCTATTGGAGGTTTCCATCTGTTCTGGAGTCAAATATTCAAATAAATCCAAATTTAAAATATATCAAGAATTAGTGATAAAACTGAAAGAAGAAACTACTTTCAGACTGTAGGTCTCAAAATACACCACCTTCTGGCTTGAGATATGGAAAAGGTTCCCTAAAGTCCTTTAAGTTGAGATCTGAAGAGGGAGTGTAACTTAACTGATAAAAATGGAAATAATAACCTCAGCAGAAAGTAGTATGTGTGGAAGCCTGGGATGGGATGGATTATGGAACTTTCCAAAATATGTGACACTCAAAAGGGTGATTGTTCTGAGGAGAGGCTGAAGAAGGAAGAGGAGGCCAAATCACATAGGATCCTGTTGGCCATGGTAAGAGTCTCTGTATCTAACAAAGAGTCACGCAAAACTATTGAAGGGACTAACACAATTTCATTGATGCTTTTAAATGATCATTTTAGCTGCTATAAAATGTATTTGAGAAAGGTAGGAGCAGGGCAAGAAAACCATGAAACGATATTGGAGTAGCTACATGAAGAGACAATAGTAAATTAACATAGGAAAGGGAAGATAGAAAGTAATGGATCGCTAGGACACATTTAGGCTCTAAAAATATTAAGATTTTCAGGACGTTTAAAAAAGCAGATGGGAGAAAAGTATAGGAAGGAACGAAGCCAACCCTAAATTTTTTGCTTATACTATTTGAAGTATGGTAGTAAAAATGGGAGGTGCACTGGTGGCACAGGGGTTAAGCACTTGGCTGCTAACTGAATGGTCAGCAGTTTTAACCCGCAAGGTGCTCAGTGAGAGAAAGGTGTGCCATTTGCTTCTGTAAAGATTTACAACCTTGGAAACTCTATGGGGCAATTCCACTCTGTCCTATTGGGTCACTGTGAGTTGGAATCGACTCCATGGCAACGGGTTGGGTGGGTGTAGGACCAGTGGAAGTACAATACTTGGTCATGCATTAAATCCATCAATCAGAGGAATAGTTATCACTTTATTTTTATATTTAGTAATTTGAGAATGAGTCCAAATGATAAGGTTATGATATAATAAAGTGGGCAAAGGAAATATTCTAAGCTGTAGGACTGGACATATATTTATTCAATCCCTTGTATGTGTTTCATTTTTCCTGATGATTAAGAATCATAGAAAATGTTGCATAATATATATATATTTACAACCATAAAAAAAATCATAGCAAAAGCAAGGCATGCGTGAGTATATGCTGAAAATTTAGAGGTGCACTGCAGTAAAAACAAACAAGATGCTGATACCAAAATAAGTTCATAGACCACATAGGCCTTTGGGTTCCTACCCATGGATAGGGCAGAATACATTAGGGTTTCTCTTTGGTGATTGTTATCGGAGGGAGTTCAAGAAAAAAAAAAAAAGCTAGCTCTAAATCAGTAGTCCAATCAAAATACTGCCAAATATGTGATAACACATGAATTATGATGTGATAGGTTAGAAACAGAGAATCAGATACAGACACAATGATGAAGACAGGATGAATGACTAAAGCCTGGGTTACTCTCTGAGCAAATACCAATAATACATTGGAAATTGAAGATCTTTCACAAGGGATTCAGTAAGTTAGCATAGAATTGGGGTACATCTTCATAGATGGCTGTTTACAGATCTCTGAGGAAGACCACATGGTACTAAAAAATTCTATACTTAAAGTGAACTTGTGGAATAAACCATCATAGTCAATTTATAAGAAACAATGAATAAATCATCTCTAAAATCTAAGAGCCTTTACAGTGCTGTTTGAATGTGTATGTGTCCAAAATTTTTTTCCAGTCTGTAGGTTCTCTTTTTACTTTTTTGGTGAAGTCTTTTGATGAGCATGTGTTTGGTTTTTAGAAGATCCCAGTTATCTAGCTTATCTTCTGGAGTTTGTGTGTCATTGGTTATGGTTTGTATCCTATTAATGCCATGTATGAGGGCCTTTAGCATTGATCCTATTTTTTCTTCTACGAACTTTATAGTTTTTGGCTTTATGTTTAGGTATTTGATCCATTTTGAACTAGTTTTTGTATATGGTGTGAGGTATGGGTCCTGTTTCATCCTTTTACAGATGGACATCCAGTTTTGCCAGCACCATTTGCTAAAGACTGTCTTTTCCCCATTTGATGGACTTTGGGCCCTTGTCGAAGATCAGATGACCATAGGTGGATGGATTTACAACTGGATTCTCAATTCTGTTCCATTGGTCAATGTGTCTGTCGTTGTACCAGTACCAGGCTGTTTTGACTACTGTAGCCGTCTAGTAGGTTCTGAGGTCAGGTAGTGTGAGTCCTCCTACTGTATTCTTCTACTTCAATAGTGCTGTACTTATTCGGGGCTTCTTCCCTTTCCATATAAAGTTAATGGCTAGTTTTTGCATCTCTTTAAAAAATGTTATCGGTATTTTGATCACGATTGCATTGTATTTGTAAATTACTTTGGGTAGAATTGTCATTTTCACAATGCTGCATCTACCTATCCATGAGCATGGTATGTTTTTCCATTTATGTAGATCCGTTTGGGTTTCATGCAGTAGTGTTTTGTAGTTTTCTTTGTATAGGTCTTTG